TGTGGCTGATTTATCCCACGCAGGAGCAGAAGGAGCCGTTCCCACCTCCCAGTGCAGATTGCAAGATAAATCTGGTGTTCAGAGGGACCGTTGGTGACTGACACTGACATGCCTTTAAATCACTGTGGCTGCCAGGATGGAGCCGTGGGCCAGATCTGGCCCTGGGGTCAGCTCTGTGCTCAGCAGGTGTAAACCAGCCAGGATTGAGATGTGGTGTCAGGTCTGAGCACCGCTCTCATTTTTATTTAAGTGTCTGCACGGTAATTCTGGCTGAGAGGACAGCTGAGAGCTGCAGCCCTTAGTTGCTGGAGCTGTCACGTTTTGCCATGATAGAAACTTCCATGATGAAGCTTTATGTATCCTCTAGAAATCTCCTTATGAGTTGCACATGGATGTTGTGCCATGACCCACCCCACAGTGCCGAGGTCCAACATCCACTTTGTCATATGGGGAATGGCTCCAGCCGCCGGGAACTCCCTCTGGATTTGAGTCAGCACTGTCAAAGTGGGGAGGTTTGCACCCCATCCATTGTGCCATAGCCAAACACTGCCATGGGATACGAAGTGAGCACGGATGTTTGTCCTGTAGCTCCTCATGCCTAGACCATAAGGTCATTCCTAGACAGGTTTTATCTGGACAAATTACACTGCAAATGGAATAATCTCACCAAAATACAGCCTGCCACAAGAACAACCCCCTTCTGAAATTAATTACATTTTGCTTTTCGTTAATTTTTGTTTCACTCTCATGAAACAAAAGCCAAAGCCAAGAATTGCCAGTGTTCCTTATTGGCAGCATTCACATACGCACACTGTACCGAAGCGCCTTCATGAGCTGCAGGATAAATCCCACAGTCTCGGGGTGTGTGCCTTTTTTATTATTTATTTCCCCTTCTTTCCAAGGAATTTGCTTTGCAGCACTTCAGATAAACATTCATTTGAAGCAGAGCTGTCTGCAGCTGCAAATTATCTGTGTGGCTTTCATCACTGTTCTGATGAGATCCCCAAGGGCGGAGCATCATCTGGAGCGGGGTGCCGGCAAGGGCCTGATGGCAGCCAGCACTCCTGCAACGTGCATCTCGCTGTGACTTAGTAGCTAGATGGCACTGAAGGTATTTTGTGGCATCTGCTTTCTCAGGTATGGCGAGGAGATGACTAATTCGCTTGCGAGTGGTAAATAACTGCAGAGGCCTTTCTGCAACCACACTGCTCTGCTGACCCCAGGCACTGCTGCTGGGTGCTGTGAATACAAAGCTGGACTTTATTTCCTGTTGTTTCAGTGATGCTCCTTTCTCAGCAGGTGCTGGTGCTCAGGGTGTGCACTGGTGGTCAGGAAGGGACTGATTTTCTGCCATTCTGGGAAGTATCTCAGGTGACCTGGGTGGGCCTGACTGCCTGGCAGAGGTACTCCTGACCTACTTGAGTGCACCGAGGAGTACGGGAAGGAAGAAGAGGGTCACACTGCTGCATAGAAGGAGCAGTGCATCTGATTGACCTAATTCTGGTCTTTTTTGTGCTCTTTTAACTCCACAGGCTTCAGCAAAGGTGTGCTGCTTTACACCAGAAGAAGCTGACCCGATTTCTGTGGCCTGCTTGGGCCGTGGTGACATCAGTGTCAGTCCCAGGGCTCAGCACAGATGCGGCCAAGTTGGGACCAGGGAAGCAGAGGCCTTGAGAAGCAGCAGCCCTGCACCGGGTGGGCACTTGGTAGATGGGGTGCTCTACCCACAGCGTTCCTGTTTCTTTAGGAAGTTGCCAAAGATTAGCGAGAAGCCCATAGAATGGGTTGGAAGAGACCTTAAAGCCCACCCAGTTCCAACCCCTGCTGTGGGCTGGGTGCCACCCCCCAGATTGGGGTCCCATCAGCCTGGCCTTCAGCAGCTCCAGTGTTGGGGCACCCACAGCCTGTGCCAGAGCCATGAAAGAAATGTGCTTCATTTCTAGAGGCAGCTGGGATGGAGACACATGGGTTTATTACTGCTGGCAATGACCTAATCGACCCCACTGCCTGATAATGCCTTCATGTATCTGTGTGGAGTTTCCAAAGTGTGTCTGCATCCTTTTGGGTTTGGATGAATTTTACAGCTCTAATCAGACACCTCTATTACACATTTCTGCTCTTTCTACCCAAAATGTTTGACAAGCTCAGCTGCTAAAGGAGATCTGTAAAATTTGGGGACCGAGCTGTCAGCTCACCCAGCAGCCTCATCACCGCCTGGCCACTAATGAGGGTGGGGATGTGCCGGGCAGAACAGCCACAGTGAGTCAGTGACATTCCCTGTGCTGCCTGCTGCCTTCCAGCAGAAAAAGAGACACCGAGAGGAAAGTCAGAAAGAAACCTTTTTCCTACCTGATTATCTGATGTCTGCTCTGTGCCATTTATTTTTAATAGTGATGTGACACAGCTTAATGTTACGTCAATTAAATTGAACTGCGGGGGGATGCAGTGATCACCCATCACCGCTGCGCTGCTGCAGCTGCCCTGCATGGGTCTGGGCAGGGTGGAGGAAGCTCTTCCCCAGTGGAGTGATTCATTTCTCCCCACATGTGATTTGCAAGAATTTCACAGGAAATTAATGATTGGATAATGTCACAATTGAGGACAAAATAAAAGATTTGGTTCCTAAATTTTAATATATGTTCTAATATTGCTTCGAAATAGCATCATGTGTTTCCCCACAGCTCAGAGAAGGGGCATTCTGGAAACCACAAAGGGTTCATCTCAAAGGGTGCCAAGGATGGGGAGGCTGAGCTCTGGGTTCCCATAGGGCGTCTCCAAGCCCTGATATCACAGTGCTGAGTCACTGCTGACTGCAAAAAACAGTGTGCAGGGAGGGCAGATGAGCCTCATTCATGGGCAATAAATCAGTGCACACGAAGCTCCTGCAGGATTGCCTCCATCAGAAAACTACTGCCCAAGTAATTTTATTAACAGAATTTTGAAAAGCCCAAATGCTTTGCAAAAAAAAAAAAAAAAAAAAAAAAGAGGGATGATCTACAAATAAATCACCTCTCAATATCAACACAGCAAGAAAAATTCATTAAGTGCCTTTTAAAAGTGCTGGCTCTGACTTAGCAGATCTTTTTCAGATGTTCCTCTCAAGCAAACCTAAACATCAAATAATAACTGTATAAAGGCAAATACTATAACAACTCTGGAAACACATTATGCATCTCTTCCTTTGATAGAGGTCTCTGTGCTTTTATGAAATGTTCATTATCAGTACTTTCTCCTATATCTGAAAAAGAGACAGCGGTGCTTTGCTGGCAGGGAACAGGGCCAACGGGGCATTATTTTTGATAGGCTGATGGTATGAAGCCATCCTTCACATTCCTGGGAAAATGATTTCTGTTATTGAAATTAAAACCAACTTGGAAAAGATTTCCTGCTTTTAGAACAGATTCAGCTAACGTTCTGTTTTCTTGTAATTTATATTAATAATGATCGCTCCAATATTTTAATGTATTTCAACAGTTCCAGCAGCTTTATGGAGTAAGATCACTGTTATTTACTTGAGTGACTGGCTTTATGGAATAACTGCAGCTTTCAGGGAATGGAGATAGATGCTGAAACGAAGGAAAATAAAACACAAAATAGGTTCTCACCGCTCACATCGGACACAAAAAAACAAAGAGGAGAAGAAGGAGAGAATATATATTTGAAACATGGACACTAGAAGCCATTCCATTTGGACTAAATGGGCCGGTGCTTTTGGATGTCGTTTTCAGTGAGACTGGAACAAATGTGGAGAAGGTCATGGAGCAGCCCAACTGCTCCCAGCTGGTGTCCAGGAGACAGGCTCCATCCTTTGCCCTACTTCCCTACTCTGTGAGCCTGGAGGGAGTTTGGGGTTTTTACCTCCTAGACCTCAATATAAGCATATCTCCTGAGCAGAACTGCCCACAGCTGTGAGCAGCTTCTGCTCTGCGCCCTCGAGCTTCAGGAACGCTCAGGGATCCCATCCAAAGTCCCATGGAGTCAAGGGGCTCCTCTAAGTTCCAGAGCCAGGAAATACATTCTTAAAAGCTGAAACCAGTTTTATAAACACTTGGGCCTAAATCTGGAAACCTCTAAAAATGTATTATTATTTTTTCTTACTCTAATTGGAAACACGTGCGTCCAGTGCTCTGCGTTTTGGAAGCATCTGCCCTGAGATGAGTGAACGGAGCTGGAAACTCCTCCTGTCCCACAGCCATGCAGAAGCAAAGCCCATGAGCGCATGTAGCAAGGGTTCAGGAGGCACGAGCCCCACTGCACAACTGCAGTGGTTTTCAGATAGCAAAGGATTTGGCTATGGGATTATTATAGCAATTAACAACACAGGGGGAAGCTATCAAAGGAATGTGAGCTCCTCTTTCCCTGCTTGGAGATTTTCTGAGGGCAGAACATGAGAGTTTTATTTATTTTCTCTATGAGAAGAATGCAATTTTTTTTTGCCATAAAGGGACCTGCAATGATTTTTCAGATTCTTTCAGATATCTGAGATGAACCATGATGCATCCAATAAAATCACATCACATTTTTCCTTTCTGAAAAGTGCAGCAGAAAAGCACTGCAAGGCTGCAAACACCTCCAAATTTGCGAACCTCCAAATGTTGCAGAGATGCCTAAAACATTATGTTGGGAAAATATGGAGTGAATGAGACAATTCTCCTCCTCAAATGATGACCCTCATCGTGAAGACTACTTCAAAGTTTGTTGAAATTATTCAAAACCTGAATTCCGAAGGAAAGATGCAATGCTTCCTTGCACCTACCAGAAATATTTGTCGTAGCGCACCAAAATGCAGATGTAAAAATGGAAACCAGACAGAGTTCAGACTGCCTGAGAAAAGCTGACTGAGAAAACAAAGCTGTGTGTTAACTCAGCACAGTCGCAGTTGCTTCCTGAGTTATCCTCTCGTTATCCTCTCAAAATTAAGAAATCCTCAGAGCAAACCCTTCTGAAGGATTGCTGCAGCCACCACAAAGGAACCTTAACAGTAACTTGGAAGTGTTCGCCTTGTGATGCTATTCCTCAGACCCTTTAAAAGAATTGCTTTTCTTTTCAGAAGCTCTAGGGTGATGAAGGGACACAAACAATTTGGCATTCAGATGACTGTCATTTTCCCCCTCACACAGCTGTAGGATTTGTGCCATTGGCACCCATTATCCTGGATAACCATACATTTCTGACGCTGCTTTTCAGCAGCGAGCTTACGCTCCTCAGAATTAGTCACTGCAGAAAAATCCATGCGGTGACGGGGATGAGAAAATGAAATCATGATGAGAGGGGATGAAAAACCCAACTGCCTGAATTCAGGTCAAGAGCAACACTGATTGATTTGGAAAAAGTCCTTTATAAATATTCAGCAGTGTCAGTGCATTCCGAATCAGACACTGAAATTACAATTCTCTCTTAGATCAAACCCTGAGCCTGGTTTAAAAAAAAAAATATTGGCAGATGGCATCCCCTGCTCTTGGGGGTGAGAAGCAGAGGGCACTGCCATGCTCACACTGCATGCCACACTGCAGCAGCTCACTTCCCATATGTAAGGTGTGGTGTTTCTTGCAAATATTTGCTGAAAGTAAGGAGGGACCGAACACAGAAAGTAATAAACCCAATAGTTAAGTTTGTTTTAAAAGATGATCACAAGTCACATTTCTCCATACAGATCTGTGCAGAGATGGATGCTGCTTCTGTGTAATTTCTGACTTCAGAAGGCTTAAGCAAGGGCTAGCCGTGACCCGCAGTGAGAGCTGGCTGGCAAACAGCGAGTTTGTTTCATGGCAACTTCTGATGTTTCAAAATCTGTTTGCATTCTGCAAAGGAAACAAAATCAAAACACTTCCAATGCAATGGGGAGGCCAGTCCTGATACCCATGATCTGAGCAGGGGCTCCTCATTTTGCAGTGGGTCTTCCCCTGCCCTCCTTGCAGCCCAGGTGCCAAATGCACTGGTCCCCAAAGTAACCCATGTGCTTTGATAGAAAATCCGTGAGGTTGTAAACCCATGGCCCCTGCTGCTGCACTGCTCACTTGGGATGGTGCACACCCAGCAATGAGCCCTGCCAGCAGCTTGGGGAGCAGAGGCCAACCTAGATGACACATACTGTGTGCTCGGTACATCCATCTAGCAAGAACTCAGATCAGCAACGTGTGACAAAGGAGTGGGATCAATTCACAGGGAAGCAGCTGGAGGTGGGTTCTTCCATGTTTTATCTTTTGTGCTGGGAGATCATTTGCCAAATTGCTAAATGAAAAATAAAAGTGAACAGGATGACCAGCAACTACAACTCGCATTTTTCTTCATGAATTGATGCGATGTTATTCAGGTCCTGATCCCAGCTGCCCCGACCACTCCTGGATTCACTGCAGTGAGTTGTCCAGAAGGAAAGAAAGCATAAATCCCCACCTCCAGAACACCTTCCCAGTTGAGAGAAGTTGCCAGTTGTTGTCTAATAAATTCCAGGTGCACTGAGCTGTCGAAGCACAAGAAGTGCTGTGCTGGGAACAACACTGCTGAAATCACCAAAAGTACTGCAGCTCCCCAGGAAAGGAAGAAGCCCTTAGAGCTGCAGGGGGACAGACTTCTTGTCTTCTGATTTTCTCTTGCTCTTTTTAACCTTATCTGAGTACTACTGACTGGCAAGAGCATTGTCTGTATGAATCCAGGAAATACAAGGCAGACAAAGAGCCAAACCCTGTCAATCACGGGCAGACAGGACATGATAACACTCTTGAAACAGGTCCAAAATTCAAAAACCCTCCCTATAAAGAGACAAAAGTTAATTCAATCACAGAAAACACTGCAAGACCTCTCCGTGCCAGGTCCCCATGCTTTCATTGAGCTCTATCTTGTGCTTCTGCTCCATCATCTGCTATTCACATGACTCCACTTAGCAACCGATCTGATTAGGCTTGTTTGTGCACTGGGTGCTGTTATTTCTGGTTCAGATTAGTGCTTCCTTCTTTCTCTGTTTCCTCACATACAGCTGAATTATCTCCTTTCACCCAGAGCTCGCTGCATGGTTATCCCACTTCTGCACAGCAAAGCAGAGCATCCTTGCTGCTGCTGTTTTATGGCTTCGAAGGGAGGAAACAACACTCATTTTCATGCAAATCCCTACTGTCTATCAGGCATCATAGTTGTCAAGCAGGTCATTAGAGGCCTACTGTGTAAAATGAAGATTACTAATTAGAGCTGGAGAAATAATTTGCAACAGATAATTTATCCAATGGATTTAGATGTTTTTTTCCTTGCAGAGTCCCTGCCAGCAGGTTGTGACTTCACCGGAGCGGCCATTACTTGGAATGATTTTTAACTCATTCAATTCATGGCAATGGATTCTGGTTTTCCACTATTACTTTCCTGAGCTGGGTGCTCACCTGGCATTGATCTCAGGATGTGGGGTTTGTTTCCTGGCTCAGACATCAAAATAGGGCTGAAATGAGTAAATACCAGAATAGCTTTCCCCCAACACCGATTTGTGTTTCTGCAAACATCACAACATAAAAGTAGCTTGGGAAGCTTCCATTAAAATCCATTTATGCAGGAAAAAAAAATAATGCAATTGCAAAAACTAAGTTCTACCCAGAGCAAATCTCACAGATCTCAGACAAGAGCCTGAAGCCTGTGGTTATGCAAGTCTTATGAATGAATATCACCAAAAGTAGGAAAAAAGTTATCCTGCAGGGAAAAGGGGAAGGAATGCAGCCAGCAGCCAACATCCCCAAAGGCCTTGTAGTACCCTATGCACATCCATTAAATACAGAAGGAACTGAAAATGAAAACTCGTGTTGTGACTCATTGTTACAGGAAACAGGATTGAGCAAAGCCTGACCGTTCACTGTGATGGAAATCCAAAACATGGGTTTGGGATAATTTTGATTGACTGTTTCTCCTCAGCCCATGACAAATTCTGTTACTTTGGCTCAAAATGTTTATCTGATTCAGTCTGAAGAGAGAAATTGAAGTCTTCCATTGATTTTCTTCCTGCTACAAAAGTCAACGTGCTGCAAACATCAATTCCAGCTCAATGCACTCTGTGAGCATTCAGAGAAAGGTGGAGAATGAAGAAAGGAGACAATTCACCCAGTGAAGTAATGCCTGTGCTAACGCACACACTCCTGAGAAACCTTCAGCTACATTCACCATTTTTTAATAACAACAAAGGGCAAAGTTACACCTAGGGCTGGCACAGCAAAGCCCGAGTTGTGAAGGAGCTGCTTCATTTCCAGCCCATGAACAATACATAGAACAGCCTCAGGAGGGTTAAGAGAGTTTCAATGAATGAAAAAGGACAATTTGTACCAGACTCCCCAATCCCATCTGCTGCACTATGGGAGCACGCGGTGTTCTCTGCGGTGACTCACCCTCCTTTGTGCTCACAGGCAGGGAGGGATGGGAGATGGAGCCATGCTCAGAGGGAGAAAACACAGCCAATGCTCTGAGCTCACCTGTTAGTCCAAACCACCCTCAAATGAAGGCCTTTGCAGGGCTCTGTGGTCGCTCAGCATGCATGAACGGTGCTGGTGGCCAGGGGATGTGGTGGCTCTGGGGGTGGAGAAAAGAGCAGCAGTGAGGGATGTGAGCTGTGTTCTCAACTCTGCTGTGTGCCAACAAATGTCATTTCTATCTGCAGACAGGGAGTAACCACTCAGCTACACAAGGTGCTTGGGGTTCCCTGCATTTCTTTAAGGCATAACTTTTTTTTTTTTGTATGCAACTGAAAAAACAGCTTTAGGCACCCAAATGGAGCCCCAAACCAAGGAAAATCATAGAATCATTATAGTTGGAAAAGACTCCTGAGATCACTAAGTCCAGCCATCAGCACATCCCCACCATGCCCACTGACAACCTCCCTTAGTGCCATATCTCCACAGCTCAATAACACCTCCAGGGACAGTGACCTCACCACTCCCTGGGCAGCCTGTGCCAGTGCACCATCAACTCTTTCTGAGAAGAAATTTTCCCTAACATCCAACCTAAACTTCCCCTGATGCAACTTAAGGCCATTACCTCTTGTCCATCCAAGATCCCATCCTCCTGCTCCAGATGCCAGCAGGTCTAACAGCACAGCTGTGAAGGTATGAGCACCTGAGGGTGCTTTTATACAGTGTGGAGGTATTTAACCCTTTCTCTAAATAAGCTTTTAAAAAAAAAAGTGTGTTTGATAGAGCTGAGAGAGCAGCGAACCAAATCAGGCTTAATTGTGCTAATTACCCAAAGCACAGCAACTGACTGTAGGTCTCTAAAGGAGGAGGCTGCATCCTGCCCCTGAGCAACACCTGTGTGCATGCAGTAGCTCTCATTTCTGAAAGGCACCAGAGTCTGAATCTCAGTCTGGTTCTCATCATTGCATGGGATCTCATGCAGCTGATGCCTGGTGGCAGCCACACATCCCCATATCCCACCCAACCCAGAGCTGTCCTCCAAGTGCTTTGCTCAGGCTCAGCTCAGACCCGAGTGCTGCCTTTCCAGCTTCTTTCTGTGCTTTCATCCTTTGGCTGAAATCTGTAAGGAATCCCCAGGATTCACCAATCATTTATTTATGGGTTTGTTGTGATGACCCAGTGAGGCTGGAGGTTGCTGTCAGGGTATTGGTGTAACACGGGGCACAGCCAGACAGACCCCAGCACTGGGTCTTAAATACCTAAGGGCATTCCCACAGGCATTAACTGCTGCATTATTTTTTTTTTTTTAACCTGAACTGTATGTTTTAGAATACACAGATGTCTTTGTTCAGAATAAACCAAAAATAGCAGATTTTCCTCTGCTTAGCTGGGTGTTAAATTATTTACATTTCAAAACCCATAAGTAGAAACAATGACTGCATTTCCAGTGCCTGCTCCTGCTGTCAAATATCCTTTTCTCTTTTGCAACCTAATTTAGACTTCCTTTTTAGAGTTGCAGCTTAACTCCATTTCCAATTACATTAAAGGAACCAAGAGTCGAGGTTGTTATCTTGCCATTTGCATGAATAGCGACTAGAGATGCTCCCCATGAAGGTGAGGGCAGCCATTGCTGTGCCCATGCAGGGGGTGGGCAATGGGAAGGCGAGGATATTCACTCCCCGTGGTCCCATTGGGCTCCCTTGCATGGAGCATCCAGGGAGAAGTGCTGAGGCTGGGTGGGATGCTGATCATCGGGCCCAACATGGGTCAACAGAGCTGCTTTAATAGCTACATGAGCTGGTAGTGAACAAGAAATGCTTTCAGATACCCCATAATTTCAGCAAGCTGGCTGAGCCTCCACATCTGCCCCGCAGGGGTTGATGAACCGCCGCCTCCCCGGCACCTCCCAGCTCTCCGCTCGCCTTCGCCAGGTGTTGGCACCACGATTGCCAAAATCTTTGTGTGGGTGCCAGCCACCTTTGCCCCTCTTTCTCCTGGTTCCACTCCTGCGTGTGTTTCTGCTGACGCAGTTACTGCCTCAGCCCGCGGCCGTGCGAGCTGAGCCCCGGCCAAGAGCAGCCATCTAAGCAATGTGTCTGCCTCGGTTCACCCAAACCGAGGAGCAGCATCCCAGTGGTGCGTGCTTTTCTTGGAGGATTATAAAAGGGATATTATGGATCTATCTGGAGTCTTTGCATTGCCAGCCCCTGTGATTTTATTACCCATCTTCTGATATTTGGAATTTTTCATAAAGCTCTGCTCTTGGAGTAATAAGTGAGGCTCTCAGCTTTCACTGAGAAATGAAAGGAAGCTTCTAGCCTGCGTGTTTCAGAAAAGCTGGAAAATGTGCCTGAAGGCACCGACTCCAAAAGGCAAATTAAAAGAACCAATATGTTTTCTTTCTTTTTAATACAATTGTGAGTCAGAGCCAGGAATGGGGCACCGTTGGTGATTTATAGGTTCTGTGCTGGCAGCTCTCCAGTCTCAGTGATGGCACCGTGCAGAGGGAGTCGGGCTTTGTGAAGCTGCCCGGTGGTGTTCACCTGGTGCCATGTGGTGCCTTGGGACAAAGCTCACAGAGCAACTCTTCAGGGAGGGTTCTGCAAAAGGCATGGTTTGAAATGCACACACTACTTTATAAACCACTGAGATATGAAATGACTTGTACTGAGATTCAGATGGAGACAGTGACCTTGGCATGTGTGGCAAGTGGCAGTGAATGGGGTGGATGGCTCTGAAATTTGGAAGTGGGGGATTGGTGTGTGCTTTGGAAGGCTGATGGTTGGGGCTGCTATTTGCATCGTGGGCACGGCCTTCTCATCCAAGGCATTATGGACAAGGAGATGAAAATAATCACGGGCATGCTGACGGCCCCATAACACCAAAGCCATGGCAAACACCGTACTAACCAGGTGCTGCTCTGGAAGGCAGTGCCGTTGCAATCCCAGTGCTGCACCTGTTCCATGTTTGGCGCACACACGTGTTTGATTTTGGAAGAAATGCACAAACTGCCCTTCCCACTTTGTGAGCAAAAGGACTACATAAGGCACATACATGGTGCCAGCTGAGTTATGGGCTCATGAGGAGGTGTCAGTAACAGTTCGCTGCCTATGAATACCTGTACCAGGCAGGCCTGGCTTTGTAACAAGTGAGCACATTGGAGGATGGGTCTCTGCATGAGCTGCCCATGTCCCTCTTCGTTTTTGGAGAAAACACTTCATGGTAAAGCTGTGAACACTTCCTTTCCAAGCATCTCTTGGGGTGTTGGTGCCACAGCACAGCCGTACCTCCAGGAAGCAGCAGAACCACAGTGAGTATTTGCCAGCAGAGCTGCAGGAGGCCCCTGGGAATGGAGCTTCCAGGTGGCTGGCACCCACACAAATCACGGGGCTGCCAGCAAACCCCTACATGTGAGCATTCTCCAATGGGAACATCCCACCACACCTCCGCAGCTGCAGCAGGGGTCCTGCTGGCTCTGTGGGGCCGGGTAGTGCTGAGCAGGGAACAGTGAGCAGCTCCACCTTAAGCTGCAGCTCTGTGAGCGTTCTGCTGGCCTCCTGCCATCGAAACCGCTGCAGGCTGAGCTGTCATCAGAAGAAAGTGTGTGCTTTGCGTGGGGAGGGGGTGGTCAGGCGGCCGTTTCTTCATTGATCTTGTAATTTTAAAAGCTTATTTCTGGGGTGGCTTTATTTTTCCTCTCTTCATCACAATACATTTCAAATCGATTTTGCAACCCCTCACGCCACTCCTCACAAAGGTAACTGTGCTAAAGGCAGTGCTTTCTGGGGGGTCTTCCTCACCAGCACCCCAAACAGAGACCCCCAGAGCTGCCCGGAGTCATGGGGACTCTCTGTGTGCCCCCTGCCCTTGCCACAGCCCCCAAGTCCCCAGCCCTGCTCTCTGTTTTTCATCTTGCACTTCCTGCTAATCACACCATCAGTACTTGTGCTGATTAACTGCTTAGGTCTCCATTTAATTAAAACATACAGCCTTTTGGAAGAGCCAGAGGTTGCAGACAGATTTTATTCCTATCATTCCAGATTGGATTGGCATTAGCCATCAATACTGGGGGAACCAAAGCAGTTCACCCTTTCCCTGACTGTGTCAGATACATCACCAGCTGTTTGCTCAGTGATGTTTTCCAAGTCTGAGGATCTCCAAATGTTTAGCCACACATTCACAAGGTCACTCTTTTTCATTAAAAGACTGTGCAAAAAAACCACACCTGCAGAGAAGGCCAACACAGCACCAATGTTATAACGTAGGGAAAGCAGTGCAGGGGCAGCTCCTGATCCAAGAGCAAGGCAGGTCATTGGGAATACGTCTGGTTTAGGATAGGATCTGGTTCTCTGCCTTAGCAGGTCCCTTTGGAGCCCAGCACCAAGCAGCCCATGGGGCTTGCACACTCCTGGAAGGGCTTAAAAAGGTCCAGTGTTGCAGAATGCTGGCAAGCAGGAATGTAGGGTGTGGAGGGATGTGATCACTTGCAATTAACTCCAAGCAACAGGCATGCAACAGAAAGCCTGCTGTGTTTGCTTTGCTGTAAAATAAGCAAGAACTTTGCTCGCTCCTGGCCGTGCCCAGAAGGACATTGCAGCCCCATGCACCAGACCCGCACGCAGTCAGGACACTGCAGACAGGGCTCACTTTTGTCAGTAATACTTCAGTGCCTCATTACCAACCTCAAAAGTATTTGGCTGTAGCTTACTTTTGAGGTTTGGGCCGAGGCCAGGGACTCCAGCAGGAAAAGTCAGACCTAAACAGACGAGTTCAGGTTCAAACTTCCCCAGCCCGGCCACGGGGCGTTCCCCACTGGGTGCAGGGAGAGCCCTTCTGCAGGGCATGGCTGCACAAAGGGCACGAAAGGCATTTTCCAGCAGCAGCTAATGGCCCGTATTTCATCTTAAAAAAAAAAATAATAACCAGACAAAACAAAGCTAATAACTTGCTCCTTGGTATTTTGCTGTGATAGCAACCTTTGCCTGTTTGGATTTATTTTCCTTTTTCACCCACAGCTCATGGGGGCATGGGTTCCTGTTGAGTTGAAGACACTGCAGAGCTTTGTGCTCCATATATTGCTTTCATCGGGAATGGCTTCCTGTTCACAGCAATGCCCTCTCTCCTATAGCTGGAAAAGGAACCCGGTGCCCCCATCTCTCCCTGCATGGGGATGGGATGCTGTGCCCAGCCCTCGGGTCAGGTCCCCAAAGCAGTGTCCAACCTCATGGCTGGAGCTGTTGGCTGCCCCCTGCCATGAGCAGCTGCAGCTCCCTGCATCCCAGGGAAGCTGTCACCTACAGGGAGACATCGGCTCTCCCTGTGCTGATAGCACCTTTTTTCTGCTTGAATTGCTGCAACATCAGCCAAACAAGGAGGGACTGCAAACAGCCACAGAAAGCAGGGGAACTCCTAGGGCTCAGCATGATGGGAATATCCAGCTGCTGTCTGGAACAATACAACAAATGCCATCGGTTCATTCCTGCAGCCTTTGACACATAAATTCGGTAACTAACCTGACCTGTGGCTGCTTTTCTGAGAGACCGGCCGAGACATGACAAATATGCCTCTCAGCATACCAGGGCTGATTACCGGCAGCCTATAGGAATAGCTCAGAGCTGCGTGGTTACAGCAGGAAAAAGCAGCGTGCTCTGGGCACGGCCTGCACCGCAAGCACGGCAACAAGGCATTGTGTGGGTGTCCTTAGGGAAAATCCTCATGTTCACAGAGAATGAGTGTTGGTTTGAGGAAGGGGGGCTCATATTTTAGGGTCTTTGCTGGCCATCAGCACGGCCATAGGCTGCTCCTCCAGCGTGTCGGGTGGCTTCCAGGAGGGATGGTTTCCCAGCAGAATCACCCGGACTCGCTTTGGGCTTTGCTGCACAGCTCTTATTCTGCTCCCATCTGCTAGGGCCATTTCAAACCTTAAGTTTTAACATGTGATTTCACAACACGTGGCTCTGGGAGGGTGACCGGCCTGCAAATCAGCCCCCTGCAATCCCCAGTCAGTTGCTTTACATTAAGCAATTAAACTGAGCAATAAATATCACTTTGTTGTGAACGAGTCTCCATTTCCTTTTCTATTTTAATAACAATAATGGTCAAACTTCTGTTTAAGAAGCACTTTCTGGTTCTATTTGGAAGTGTGCCAACCTATTCAAGAGATGTAAGATTTGTATGGGGAGGGAATAGTTTTTATTAAGGCAAATTATATAATTAGGAAAGGAAGAAAAAAATAAAAAAAACAACACAAAACCACCAGCCGAGCTTTCAGGCACGCGATCCCTTCTCCACGTACAGGGAAATGCAGTGCTACTGCCGGGCAACACACACACACTGCAGGCATTGCTGCAGCCACCAGAGCCCACCCAGGGCTGGGGGTCAGGATGTGTCTCCATGGCTCCTGGGAGGACCCTGCCCTATTGCAGCCCCATGAACAAAACTCTGTTCAGTACCTGCCAGCCCCAAGCAGCCTGGGTCTCCGAAGTGTACACATGAGCTCACTGTTCAGAAAATTACATTTTTTAAGCATATGATCCAGGCACGTGGGATTCCCACAACTTCTTCTGGCACAGCCTTTGCTTCGTCTTTTGGACTGGAAACCTCTTGGGGCAGGGACTGTGGTTTTAATTATGCACAGCTCCCAGCTGAGCAGAGCCATCAGTCCCTGCTAAATGAATAAATAATCACTGCAGCAAAGCACAGCCCCTTCCTGGCTGAAACCCATTACCGAAGTGTTTGTAGGTCACTGCATATTTGTAAGCAGAACTTAAATAAGATATGCGGATTGGGAAGCCCATAAGAAATGTCAGACTGAACTCCAAATTCTGCAATGTATTTTGATGATTAGAGGTGGAAAAAAGCAACATTAAGCAGATAAAACTGATGCCAGGTCAGGACTAAGGGCTTCCACTGCTCACACCCAGCGCCAGGCAGTGACTTTTGGCCATGGCACTGATTGCTCATTCAAGTTGGGATCTGAATTTCCTCCATCCTAGTTAGATGTGGAAATGGACAGGGGCTGGGTAACTTATTTTAATGATTTCCTAACCATCACGGGAGGAGCTTCTCCAGACCTGCACTGCCCTGACACCAACCAGACCGGCTGCCTACATCCACTGCACTCCCCCAGTGCCACCAATGCTACAGGCAGTGCAGCAGCAAAGAATGGTTCAAGGAAGAAAAAAAGAACAAAAACCACAGACACTGCAGATACACAGCAGGCAGACATCAGGGAAGGCTCAGGAGCTGACAGGGACTTTGGACCCACACAGACAGGAATCTTTTTGGGTAAAAAACGCAGATTATTGCAGGAAGTCTGAGAACAATGCTTGACTATTTAAGGACAGCAGTGTTTCCTTTCTGAACATCAGCATCATTAATTTGCTTTGGAGTCCAGCCAGATTCCATCTGATGCCTGCTCTCCTGTTAAGGTGGAAAAGTATGCATAAAATCTTGCTCGGTGTTACCCAAACATAATGGCCTATATTTCTATTCACATGCATTAAATCTTTGTAATCTGTCTGTGATTGCCACAAGATGTTAAAGAAGTATAAATAAGCTCAAAAAGCTACACAATTCCTGGGTGAAAAAAGGGTCACTGAGGAGTATTAAAATCAAATGCTGCTGATTACTGCAGCTGGGAAGGAGCTGCCTGACCACTACTGTTTTGTCCCAGTACTTCCATTTCATCCCGAAGCACATCATGCCCATCTCCAGCCTTACTGGCCACACAGAGCTTCCACCTCCCATCATAAACACGGAGCAAAAAGCAGAGATGTGGGTGATAAATCATGAGCCAGTCGTTAGAGGATAAATTACACAGGGTTGAGAAATTCACAGGAAAGGACGGGTAGGAGTCATTTGCACAAGGAGTTAAAGATTATTTCCAAACATTAACCACAGTAACAGAAATCACAATTGCTTTGCTGATCCCATGCAACACCAAAAAGCCCAAGCCTTTTTCTGTATGTCAGAACTGCAGCAGGGCAGACCAAGTAACCCTTTCCATTAACTGATTGGATCGAGCTGCTTGGCATTTATTCTGCTGGAGGCAAGGTGCTTTTCCCTGGCTTGTAATTATTATTATTTTTAAATCCTTGCCTCTACTCAAACACACGTCTCATGCCCGTGTGCTAAAGAGCTTAATTTCCCCTTCATTTTCCCCTGCAACATCGCTGATGACAAAGTTTGCTCTAGGCCCTTGGCAACCAAGGGTAAAACAGGTACTCAAAAGATGGGCCACTTCCTTGGCTGAACAAGGGTTTGTTGTAAGGCAGGTGAGGGCAGGAGGGGTGCTTCTTATTTCTGAGCGATGGAAGCGGCAGCTCATGATCACTGTCCCCAAACTCCCAGCATTAGGCTGGGGAACTTGTTGGGTTAGGCTGTCTTTCCAGCTGCCTTCATTGGGAATAAGAATCCCACAGAGCTCTGATCTTGATTTATGAGGGCTTGGGATCCCTGATTAAGCAGTTAGGAGTGCTGAAGCAATGCTAGCCTCTCTTTGCAGCAAGCTTTCTTAGTCACCCATCAGGGACTGTGAGCTGTTAGTGAGTCTTCTGTCACTTTCTTCTATTGTTTTGTGGTCAAAGCCCTGAAGTCCAGACAGACTTAGCAACCTTGTTGGACTTCTTTCCCTATTTCTCCCCATTTCTGGGCTTTTGAGACAAGTTCTCATTCTGAAAACAACTCTCAATTTGATGCATGTTAGCCTCACCGAGGACACGACTGTGTTTGAAAATGACATTTTTTCCTCACTGCTCATGCACTGCTTTGACTGTTACAGAAAAACTAAATGCTTAAAAGTTACCTGGTTGAGTAAAGATCACACTGAGTGTCTGAAGAGCATCGTTCCCAGCCTGCCTGCCAGCAAACTCCACACAGCCTTAAGGAATGGGGTGACCACAACAACATGTCATCCTGCTCATTCCGGGCCCTCGGATCCATGTGATGTGATTGTCATCCCGAAGATGCGTTGTGCTCAATGGCTCTGTAACACACAATGACCAACAGATGTTCAGGTGGGACATTAGGAAACATTCCTTATCAGAAAGAGTGGTCAGGCAGTGGCACAGCTGCCCAGGGAGCGGTGGGGTCACCATCCCCAGAGATGTTCCAGAACCGTGGGGATGTGGCACTGAGGGACAAGGGCAGTGGGCACAGTGAGGATGGATTGGGTTCTACTTGGTGATCTTGGTGGTCTTTTCCAACTATAATGATTCTATGATTCTATGGAAAGAATTAGTTCCTTTAGCTGTCAATTTAGAAAACAGAAGAAAGGAGAAGCAAAAATAAATAAATCTGATCCTATCACATGGCTCTCCTTTGCCTTCTGCTTGGGCTTCCAAAGCAGTAGGAGCATGGCAGGGCTGTGAGGCTGCATTATGCAACAGTGATCCCTTTGTTCCCTCCCACTTCAAGATTTAGCAGCAGGGAAGCAAAAAACTCCCATCTAGAAATGCAGAGGGGGGAGCAAATGTTAAGAGGATGCTGAATCCCTCTGAGCTATTAATGGAGAATTGCATAACAGCTGCCGCGGGGTTGCTAGGTTTTACCACGTCCCTGCACAGTGTTGGATATTAACAGGGCTTGTGCTTTCGGTGGTAGCTGTGAGCGGGGTGCGGGTTTCCATGGAGCTGGGAGCGTTGGCTCTGCTCATTCACAGCAAGATCTTGCAGTGCTTTGCTAAATCCATCTCCCAGCGAGGCGGGTACCACGGAGCCTGGGGGATGCGCGGGGGTGTGCCCGCCTCGCCTTGAAAAAGCCATTAAAAAAACCTTTAAGAGGCGAGATTCAGGAATGGTGCCTGCTTTGTCTCTCCTGGCAGCACCATGCTTTAACCCTCCTGTCCCCAGCCCCGCAACATCTCCTACATGTGGGTCTGCCCTGACTGCTCCCAGTAACACAACGCCCACCTCCAGCTTCATGTTTGAAGCATCTTCACGGAGCCTCTGCACGGTGCGTGTTTCGGCACGTTGGCTTTGTGGGATCAGCCCGCGCTGGGGCTGGGTGCTGACGTGCTGTGCGTGCCCTTGTAGGGGAGAAGAACAGCGAGATGCCAGAGATCCCACATCTCCAATATGCCTGTGAGCTCAAACAGCTTTCTGTTGTGCCTCTAATTAGGCTAAGTGGAGTGTTGGATTCAAGTGCTAATTAGAAATGACCACTCTAAAATACATTAGGATATTTAGGGCTCTGCGCTGTTTGCATATTCAGGCTCCGGCTCCTGCTGTTGTGTTTGTGTGAGTAATGAGATGACTCTATCCATCTAATCCCTTTTAACCTGTGGCATTAATTATATTATTTTATGTTTCATTGTATAGTATTTTATTTATTCTATTTTATTATTTATTATTATTACTATGCTTTATTTTATTGTGACAGCTACACCGTGTCTAAGGAAATGGATTTCTAGCTATGGGAATACGCCCACAACAAACACCAGGGCAGCCCAACCTCATTGGGTGAACTTCGCCCTGCTCCTGGCAGGCAGCTTCCTTGCAATTTCTATTGTGTAAAATGAAACTTCTGAGTGTTGTGGAGCCAAGATCAAAGCACAGATGGGACCGGGCTCAGGCTGTAAGCCAAGGGCTTGGTGTAAGGCTGGTACCAACCCTGCTCTGGGTCCAGCATGGGCTTGGCCTCAGTTCAGTCTCACTCCCAAAGTCAAACTGATGAACTTCCATCCCTCAGATGGATGAACATGGACATATCTATGGCCTCACAGAGCCATAATTTCTGCCCGAATGCTTTATTATTTGGAAATCGTAAATAAGGCAAAGTGAAAAGGACAAGCCCCCTTAATCTACAAGCGGTGTGCTAAATGATGGCGGTAAATCTCCGCTGGCCTCACAGCAGGTTGATTGGCACACCCAAATAGCAGCGATTTTATCCCACAAAGCAAAGTGTAGGTATGGAGATCAGGTTTTGGAGAACAAAATCATACCCAGAAGGCTTTTTCCATTTTTCCATCCCTTTCTTGTAATCTCCAGATACTGTTCCTTTAGTGTTTGAGTGACGCTAAGTGAATTAAGAGAGAAATATCATTATTTTTAAAGACATGGGTTCTTGACAACGATGAGATGGGACCAGCGAGCAAGGAATTGCAAAGAACTGAGTCTGCTTGCCCTGTGTGTTCCGTAAGGCAATCCGCAGCTTCAGGAAAACCTCTCCTCTCCCTGTTGCCTTATTTACTTCACTGTGCAACCCAGCCTTCACTTAGGCTGAAGAAAACAAGAAGAATGAAGAAAAATGATCAGCTTTGACAAGGATGCTCACACATTTCCCTGCAGGGGGAATGCTGGGGGGGTGCGTTTGTACTCTACAGCACCATTGTTTCTCTGCTATAATCCCCCCCCCCAGCATCACATAGGGACCATCAGCACCAGGGACCTGTATTGCCTTGGGGCTGGGGCCCAGAGATTTATTGCCAGGTCATTGCTGGTGAGGGAGTGCCTGGGGAGGAGGAAAATCTGCTCTGTGGATAGCCAGGGCTAGAGCCTTGCTTCCCACCATGCAGAAGCAATATCTGCACCTGTCTGTACATGGCATTATTTCCTAGGTACCTGACTTGTAGGTACAATTAAGGACTTGTAAATCTGAGGAAATCTTAAATTAAGGGACAAAGCTGTGCCTGCAAACATTTGTGCCTGTCATTTTTCAGCTCTCACGGTGGAAGTCCTGTTAAAGCGAGGATGAAAAATTGGTCCTATGTCAATAACCTGCATGAATGATGCTTGAGAAAACTGGCAAGTCATCAAAAGGCCCTGTTCTCTGCTTAATTCCCTCCCTGGCTCATTATGGATTACCACATTTTGTCTAGTTAGTGGCATGATTATGGAAATAGAAAAACCATTTTTCTCTGCTTCTTATCTGAAAGATAAATGAGGCACATATAATTGGCTCAAGTTATCATGCAGCAGTGAGCAGTGGTGATGCAGCTCTTTTCTGTCTTCAGCCTGAAGTCCTGAGGCAGGGCGAGCTGTCAGCATCCAGCTCTGGCTGCTTCCTACCCCAGCACCCACACACACAGTCAAAAGCAATATGTTTATTAAGGGCTGACATTCGTTGCCAGAAAAGGCTGTTCTATCCCAAAATTAAGCTTTCTTTCCCCAGATTAAGCCCCAGATTGGAGATGCCCAATAAGCACTTCTTTTAGGGTTGCTCGGCTGTGCTCCTGGACCCACTTACAGCTGCCTCAGATGGAGGATCCCTCAGTTTGGAGCCTAAAATCTGCATTTTCTACTTAAAATCACCTGCCAGAGTTCAGCAGCTGTGACGATGGGGTCACACTTGTGCTGTCACTGCATTTCCTCAAGCCTCTGAAGACACTATCAAGGGATGTTAATTGGAAAACATTAGAAAAAGCCCCAGCGATTCCAATTCAGACAGGGACCTTAGGGATAACGAGAAAAAAGAGGAAAGCATATTGGTTTTCCTTTAATTCTAAGTGGAAACAAAGAGCAATGGGATGGAAACAGGACACTTTCCCTCTGGTTTTTATTTTCAAAGCTTAATTCCACTCTAAGTATTCTCTAAGCATTTCATTCAAAGCCTGTTTCTAGAAACTCCAAAATAACAGCTGCCTGATGCGCTCATGATTATGTTCAATGCATAAAAATAATTCACCATTTTTTGGAAGCAGCCCCTCCCAAGTTGCACTTTTCACATACAGAACCACGCTAATGAGCAATCCATTACATTGTCACCCACAGTCATTATTTTCCGAGATGATGGGCAGATGACAGGAAGCTGCAGGTCGTGGATGAGCAGTGGGAACAGATTGTGAGGAGCAACAACCCCACTCTGCTGCCACCCAGAACCCCCAGCCAACGTGCCTTGAAAATACAGAGCTCTGGAGTTGTCCCTAAACGCAGGATTTCACAGCGTTCTCCAGGAAGCATCAATATTGATCTAATAAGGAAATGGAGCTGCAGATGCTAAAGTACTTACTGCATTTTTTTAAATATGGGGACAGCTTCAATTATCCCGCTATCATGTACTAAATAAGGTTGATTAATCAAGGTTTAAGATAACAGAAGGAGTTTTCTATGCCATTAACATGTCTCCGGGGATTCGCCCTTCTTTTGGGTAATGGGAAGCTTCTGGTTGTGAAGACACTGATAATAAGGATTTATAGCACCACAGCATGCAGTGTGTTCCATAAGGGACACTGTGAGAACAGGGGCACATGACAGCAAGCAGCTTCAATTACTTAGCTCCCCACCAGCACACCAGGACAGGGCTGCATGCTCCTTCCCCCCACCTTGTGGTTTGGTTTTCCTTCTCTCTCCATTTCCCAGTGTTTCTGCTTTGCACATTCCCTTCTTGGAAAAAAAAAAAAAAAAAGGCAAAAAAAGGGAGAAATTCTACAAAGTCTCTGGCCATTCTCAAGACCAGAAGTGAACTTTCCAGACCTCACTATGGGTCTACTGGCCCGAACCACATTATGTGCATCACAGGGTGAAGTTTTCTCCTCAATATATTTTCTAATTTCGCTGATACGGGAAAATACAAGTATTTGTTGCTTTCCCTTGTTATGTATTAGCTACTAGGGCTTTCAAGCCCAATGGCTGTCATGTTGAACAGAAATCCAGTACCTGGTGGTTCCTATACATAAGCATGGAAAACGCATCATTGCATCTCTGACTTATTTCCACACTCGTTTCTCCCCAACAGATGTGGGAAATTCTCACGGGCTGCATGGGCACCTCGGGTGCTGTGAGTGTGAGTGTGTGGGGGGTGGTTTGGAATGAGGAGAGGGGATTGATGGGGCTTTATCATGCCTTGTGAAAACAGAGCCCGGAGAGAGAAGAGCAACACTTCCCTTTGAAAAGAGGGAGGAAAAAGCCAGATAAAAGATAGGCACTTTTCCTCCTAGACAGACTGCTAAATAGGCTCTTCTTGCTCATTGAGGTTCAGTAATGCAAGTTGACAGCATATTAAGGTTATTTCAGGTTCTTGTGTCTCCCAGGGTCATAAGCCTTCTGCTATGCATATTAATCCATCTTAGCATTCCTCTGAGTAGCTACGTAAGTAGGGCAATCGGTTTAGCATGAACCCTTTCCATTTACAGTGTAGCTGGGAGGAGAAACCTCCTAATTAACAGAATACCCATAGAAAATACAGAGAGATTTTAATATCACGGGGACATGGCACAACTTCCTGCTATTACAGAAAGACAAACCTGCACTGGAAATATTTTGGGGCCAAGCAGTGAGAGCAACCCAACAGCAGTGCTGTGCTGTGCCCCTGGGTGCTCCCACACAGCCCTGGGGGTTGGCACACCTGAATGCATTTACTTGTGCTCACAGGTCATGGTAGCCCTGCCATCTTCCATGCACTGTTAAGGTGACATCTGTGAATGTTGAAAATAACAGTACTCATTTAGAGCCCAGTGGGTTCAATTCTCTATTCTTACACTGTGTTCAGGGTGACTCAGAGCAAGCTTCCAAACTATCTGGCTGAGCCTACAAGCCATTTCTCTGGTGCTGGAGGGGGGGTGAGAGGGGCTGTTGCAGCGATGGAATAATGTGTGGCCTTAAACCTGGCCCCAACCGATGCTCACAGCCCATCCCTGATCTCAGTGCAAACACCTGGTCTGTATGTGGGCCATTGGTCCAGCACATCCCAGCCAGGCAGTCGCCAAGGGCCACTGGAGGCTCTGCAGAGAGAAGGCTTCTCCAAGAGAGAACACCCAGGGCAAAATTTCCTAAGAACTATTTTGTTTGCATGGATCAGGGTAAAACCAAATTCAGATATGGACTTCTGACTGCTTTCTCTTGCCGCAGGGCCAAAAAGGCCTGAAAACTAAGATAATCTAATTTAGGAAAGCCCAGTTAATATTTTGCCTTCCATTCTGGGGAAACCAAATGAAAAAATACTATTTATAAAATAAGTATTTAATTAGTTTTACTAGCAATCTAGGAATTCATAGCATAACTCCTGTGACTTCAAACCAATGAGCAAAGAATGAATGTCTCAAGAAAGAAAATGCCACTCAGCCAATGGAGTAAGTAAAACAGTAAATGACTGCACATTTAGATCAATCAATATGGCAATTACACAAAATATTACAAGATCCACGATTAATTAGGGATGACAAATTCTCCAAAAGGATAAAACATAGAAAAATTGTAAAACATAAGTGAGAATCAAGCTAACAACTGGTGAGAGGAGCTGGTAGCACTTAGTGCTTCAGCATCCCATGGGGCTTCAACCAAAGGTCACAGCAACAATCTGAGCACCCCTAAGATGGACGCATGTACCCTGTGGTACATGCTGTCAAATGGAGGGTATTGGGTAGGAGGTGCTCCCAGTGCAGGTACAAAGCAAAAGCTCACCTTCTTTGTCTTTTGTTTAAGCTTCATCCACTTTGTTGATGGAAAATCTCCTATTCAGTGTGAGTGCTTACAGCTCAAATTCGTTACTGCACATCACTGAGATATCATCACAGCATGTGCTCCTACTCTCATCAAGGAGAGCTGAAACATTTTAGCTTAAACCTCTTCTTTGGAGGTTTGCACAGCATCCCCACAGATGTGCCGTTCCATCTGATGGGCTGGAACCCAAGGAGCTGCTCCAGGGACTCAGCACCTCCTGCCTCTTTGACATCTGATTTCTCCAGCCACTATTTTCATTCTTTTTTTTTTCCTTCACTAGGTGATGTAAAGTGTTGAGAAGCTGCTATACAAAAGGCTCGAGGGCCTGTGGATTGGTTGCTGTGGGAGCCCACAGCCGGGAGCCATCCCTGCCCCACCTCTGGCAGCTACGAGTTGGGTGGCCGCTGATGTAAATCATCCCAGGCCCGTATGTGGGTCTATTTATTTTAACACTGCAGAGTTTGTTCCTTCTCCAGACAGTATGTAAGGGTGAAGTGCCAAAATCTGCACTGATGTATAGCTCTCACCCTCAGATTTATAATATAGCAGAAGCATAAGTCAGGATAGAAAACTGAGAAGGAGCTGGACCATGCCTGTGCTGTGTTTAATTTACAAGAGAGATGAAATCACAGAACACATCTTAAACATCTTATAGTTTGCCTTTCCTGCAAGATTCAGTCTTTGGTTCATCTTTTGCTCCTTGGGGCCAGTGTGGCCAAAGGGAGATGCAGTGGAGCGAAGCTTTGTGCCTCTGTCCTCTGACAGAACAGCACGGAGCTACCAAATGGGAATTACACTTTTCTACATGCTGGCAGATTGACACTCATTCTCCTCTTCCCACACCTCAATTTATTCCCTTCCCACCCCAGGGCACTGCTTCTTTTTGCTCCAGCTTGCTTGAACCCTTGAAGTACTCAGCCTTGGGACTGAAGTCATCATCCAGATGAGAGAGACATTTTATCTCCCCAGACAGGCTGTTGAAACACTCCTTAATGCAGTCACCCTCTCGTGTGAGGGACAGCCCAGCCAGCCTTGCTACAGGGCTTCTAGGTGCAGGAGCAAACCCACACACATACAACCAGCTTTTCAGATACAGTAGGAAACCCATTAAGCTTTGTGTGGTTATGCAAGCTGATACAAATGCCTTATTAATTAGAAAATCAATCACACTGTCCAGCTGATTGATGTTAATCCTACATCAAGAGAGGGGAACAATGGTATAATCAAGACGAGATCATTTCTTCCCATTACAGGGAAAGGGACAAGGCTGTGTTTCAAAGCAATTCTGCTGTGATGAGCTGCAAGGAGATGCATCATGTGCTAAGGGCTCTTTTAAGATGTGGCACATTATTGTGATCAATAATACTCAAATTTATACTGGATCCTGAATCTAAGGAAATTTTATATGAAGATTAGAGGAAATTATAATATGATCAGAGGGGATCACAGAGGAGGAGAGCTGTAATTATCCAAGGGCAGACTTAATAAATAGGGAAGAGCCCAAACCCTGAGAAATCAGAAGACGACAGCAAGAATATGTTAAGGGTGGGGAAAGCTTTTCATGGCATCCAGCTAATGCTTCAGAACTACAAAGTCATTTATTTCAAAAAAATTGATAATAGTTCAAAAGCCTAATGTTAGGCAAGCATAGAACAACAGTTAAAGGACCAAACCAGTTCTTCGCCTGATCTGCATCATTTGCAGGCAGTGCTAGGACCTAGCACTCAGGGACTGGTAACAAACAGCCCCAGCAGCTGTGTTCATACTGTCCCAAGGCAGTGTGCCCAGCCAAGAATTTTGAAAAATGCAGACAAGAATCACACTAAATGATTGGAAGATAACTGGAATATAGCCCCTTCAACACGAGTCAGTCTTTGCAAAAAGCAAATGTTCATATGTTGTTTTGGTTCCAGGCTAATTGTTGTATAGCATATTCTATATAACATAAGACAAAGCCCCAAGGCTTGTAAGCCAAGTAGAATGCAAATTACGGCACTGACACAGCTGAAGGCTCCATGCAACTTTAATCAAGGGGGGTGCAATGTATGCATGAGACAAATGAGCAGGGCAGCTCCATTAGAAGGAGTGAGCCCTCAAAACACAGCCTGACTAATAGGCTGGAACATGACTACGAAAATGTTCACCTTGACCAACCTAGACTAAGGATATTCATGTTTGCGGAAAGCATCACAGTCATTGTGTGCCAATGACATTTAGCATTTCTGCAACAGCTCATAGAAATGCTCCACGCTCCAGTTGCTGTTCTCTTTCTTTCCCATCTTTATCGTTGTCTGTGGTATAAGAGCACGGGGAAAATTCAGTGAGGATTTGGGCTGCGCTGGGCTACAAACACACAGGTAACCTCTGCCCTGAAGAGTGACCACTCGAAATAGACACAGTGATCAAAAGAAGGAGCAGAACAGGAAAACAACTGAAAGAAAATAGAAGAGCTTGAAAATAGAACTCTACAGTCAGGCTTCCATCTGATGCAAGTAGGAGTCATTCATAGTAAGAAAGCCAGCTAATTTAGGGAGGAAAATAGCTGAAAATGCCTGATACATAGTGTGGGAAACTGGCTCATCAAGAGGTGGTTACTTTTGCATGCTGAGCTCTGATGAATTCTCTGAAAGAGCTTCACAAATGCCCCAGGAGACACAGGAGTTTTGCAATGGTTCCTGCTGGCTGCTATGGTCCTGCCTCATTTTCTCCGATGCAAGCAGGCGCTCCATGTGTCCTGGGATCAAACGCACAGTGGCTCCCCATGCTGCTCCATGTGCTGTGCACACTACAGCTGAGACGTTTGCAGTTTCATAACTCAAGAATTCAGAAATAGATATAAATTCACACATTCCACCACAAACAGATGGTGCCTTTGGCTGCCTCTCGCTGCGTTCCTCGAAGGTAGCACTGGGTTGCAGACATCAATCTTTCTACAACAATTTCTGCTTGCAGGGGTTTGGGGGTTTGTTTTTGTTTCCCATTCATATTTCACACTGCAGAGGCTGAATGAACACATGAGGAATTACTGACCTGTTTCCTGTGCCAGGAGGTGCAATAACAGCTGGAGATGGCCAGGAAACAAAGGTCTGGCTCTTGATACTCTGACGTTCAGGAGGTCGGGTGTGAGCAAAGTAGATACCAAGCTTGTACCCAGACTTGTTGGCTGTTGGCTATCCTGAAGCTTTCAGGATGAGGAATTGGGGGATTCTTCGAAAGCTACCTCTTTCTGCAAAGGGAAAAAAAAAAAAGAAAGAAAAAGTAAATGGCTAATGAAAAACTTCTGCTACCCCTGCTGATGTGCAGGACGTGGCTATATTCTGGAGGCAGCAATATCTGAGCAGGATGTGTGGGTCCTCCTTAGTCCACAGCTGTAAAGATGTATTGCCTCTGGGTGGGGGGAGCTCAGGGGAACGGCCCTCCTGCACACTTAGGTTCAATTCCAGCAGAAAAGCTCATTCGCAAGGAAATGGTATCTGGGAATGTGCCCACAGGGAGAACTTGCAGCAGTTTCCAGGTTTGAGCACAGCTGCCCCAAGGGCCAGGCACAGTTTGATGGCTGCGGGTCTGCTCAGCAGCTCAGCTGCCTGCAGCTTCCATGGATGTCTGCTGTGTCCTCATGCCACCCTTGCCAGCTGTGTCACTGGTTCCTCTTCACATGAAACTCATACCAAGACAACTCATTTCTCACTGTACCCCCTCCCTGCTTGATCTGCATGGGCTGCACCATGCAGTGTCTGGGGCACGTGGAAGATTTGCAGAGGTAGAACTGGTGGCATTCACAAAACCACATAGTCATTAAGGTTGAAAAAGACCACTGAGATCATCTAGTCCAAATGTCAACCCATCTCCACCATGCCTTCTAACCTCTGCCCCTTATTCGGGGGCTTATTATGTAAAGGGAGCACCTGCCACTTGGACCACCAGGAGGAACACTGCCAAATGGTGAAAAAAATCTGTGAGGCTGTCATATTACAACTGTGGATTCCTTCAGCGTCTGAGCTGACAGTGAATTTATTGGGGAGGAAATGAAGGAGAGATGGCAAGAGGCATGAGCAACCGAGCAATAATGCACAAGGGAAGCAGCTCCAGTTATTTCTCAGCCATCACTCAGAAAGGAAAGGTAGGCAGCTCTTCAAGCAGCCTGTTTAATGCTGGCACTGTGCAGTAACAGGAAGCTTGCCAGCATATTTCATTAAAATACCTTTCCATCCGTTAATAATCATTCTCTGTGCTTTAATAGCACTTCCCCTCCAAGATTTCCAAGTGAACCCATAAATGTCAACTCAACCTTGAGAGAGGAGTATTCTTAGAGTGATTTTATACTTGGGTAAAGGGAAGGACAGAGGGATGTCTCACCAAGGCCCTGAACCACAGCACTACTGCACAAAGCCAGATAACCGAGTGACTGCACAGGGAAGTCCTGAGCCAGGAACCAAATCCAGGACTGGCAACTCTCATTCACAGCTTTTCCCCTTCTAATAAAACTTTCCCCAGACTTTGCACATGAGATGTTATATGCCAAATTCCAGGAATAAGTTAATTGGAAACAAATGCACTGCATGACCAGGAAAAAGTGTGTTTACAACTGCACTGCTGCTACCATTGCCCTACCACCAACCTGGTGCGGCCAGATGGCTGAAACCAGAACAGCACATTGACTCCCTGTTAGCCCACTGATGGCATGAGCAGTTTGAAGAAGGTTTTCTATGGTCAGGACAGTTGGTTCTGCAAAGCAGCACTGAATACTGTATTTCCTAAGGCAGAAAAATGGCCTTCAGTGATTTTTGATATGGTCAAGTCAAAGACATTTCTGAGTAACTGGAAATTTTCCTGTTGATGAAACAAGTACCCACATACCCTACACTACATTTTGCTTATTTGTAATTACTAAGAATAGAGGAAAAAGCTATTCAGCTGCTTGAAATAGAGAAACTTCTGCTGTGCGTTTCAAACAGGAATTGCTTATGGTAAGTACTGCTGTCAGCATCACCAGCCCTTTCAAAGAGAACATGTCAAGGGTTTCTCTGGGACTATGCAGTTACTGCACTTTGTTTTTTTCTGGGATGTGGTCTGATACCAGGTCCCTTCCTTACAATGGGCTGTGTCCCAGTTTTCTTCAGAACTGAAGCCCTGGAGCTCTCCAAGAGCACAAGGAAATGCGTGACAGCAATAAAAACGGTAACAATAGTGACAGTAAGTGGTAGATCAAAATCTTGATCCTAGAGAGTAATGGTGTGAAATACGCACTTGACCCTACAGTGGTGTTCACCAAAGAACCCAAGGCTATTGACAGTGCAGGGCAGAGCAATTCCTCCATGGAAATACTCCAGTCATTGTGACAAAAGTGTCATAACCTCGATCCAGAACAGCCTGCGCACTCAATCCAGAGTCTTTCACAATCACATTACGTTACAGTTCTGTCCCAGCCTGTCTGGGGACACTGATGTGTCCTCTGCAGTCAGAGGCAGATAAGTGGGAAACCACACATATTTCTGGTAAAGCTGGGTGTAATTCCATATCAAAATAAGCTTCTGATGTTTTAATATTTTGAATTATTTTCCTGATTTAAAAAAAAAAAAAAAAAAAAAATCAGCAAAGCCACAAATGCATCGTGACATTTTGTCTGTCCTTCCCTGGGGCTGAGTGGGCTCCACTAGAAACTGCCATAGCATTATCTCATAATATGACACCGCCGTAGGATGCAGCCTTTGCTAACAGCCTGGCGCCCGGCACAAAGTGTCTCTGAGGTCGAGCTTTAAGGGGGTGGAAAATCAGGTTTTGAGGGCAGTAGGTGAAAATGCCTCAGCGAACACGTGTTAAGGAGCAGTTTCTGTATATCCTGAATGAGATGGAGCCCCAAGAGACAAGAGGACATGGACAAAATTCAGTTCCTCACAGTGCCGATGCCCAGTCCATCTGCCAGCCTGCTGCTTGACCCAAGCCCTTCTCACACCTGTGCTCGTGTTTCTCAGCCAGCAGAGAAAAGAGAGGAAAAGATATGATGATATTCCTTCTTTTGAGACCAGCAGAGGGGAGCAGCCCCTTCCATAGCATCATCATGGAAAGTGGTCACTGTGCCCTGGCCAGGCTCTGGCACTGCAAGAACAGCTGGTGCCAAATGATGGGCAAATGTTGAGAAATTCTCCCACATAAAAAATCATTATGAGCAAACAGCCTCGGAAACAGAGTCTAGGAAAGCATGGTAAATCAGGTTAGTTGGGTGGGGAGTTGGTACAAGCTGCTGCCTTGGTTGGTGCAGACAGAGGGCTCAGCACAAGGCCAGAATGAACAGAATCACAGAATCATAGAAGCAGAAAAGTTGGAAAGGACATCTCAGATCACCTATAGTCCAACCACCAACCCATCCCCACCATCCCATAACCATGTCCCTCAGTGCCACATCTCCTGGTTCTTGAACACCTCCAGGGACGGTGACTCCACCACTCCCTTGGCAGTCTGTGCCAATGCCTCAACATTCTTTCTGAGAAGGAATTTTTCCTAACATCCAACCTGAACCTTCCCTGCTGCAACTTAAAGCCTTTATCTCTCATTCTGGTACTAACAGCCCAATGTGCAGAGCAGGAACGGCTCATCATACAGGTGTCGGTGGCACTATCTTTAGTTTTATTTGCTAATGAGTGGCAATTTGCTGCAGGTTGTAAAAGAGGAGTGGGAACAGTTCCTGCTTGGGGAGAGAGTGGGAGCAGAGCCTGGCGAGTTGGTGAACCCATGTGTGCAAATATGTACACTGATATAGGCAATGAGCTGCCCAGCTCACAGGAGGACTTGAAGTCACTGTTTGTGCAGGCAGAAAACCCCAGGCACAAGCAAAATATTGTGATTTTTACGCATTGCAGTTAGTAGATGATATTCTGAACGTCCAATAAGTAAATAAATAGAGGCACTGTCACAGTGGGTGTTGTTAACGAGCACCCAGCCCTTTTGGCCCCTGAGATAAAAGGCTGTAAGTGCAGAGTGTTAGAGCTGATAGTTCTATTACGCAGAAGATAAGCAGTGTCCATGAACTGGCATCTCTGCCTGAAGCTGCAGGCAAAACAAGCACTAACAATCACTGGGACGTCCACCTGTGATCTTCTGTGGGAAAACCATGTGCAGAGTGGGGCTGAAACACCCAGTGAAAGGTGGAATCTCTCCACGCGTCTGCATTTCAGTTCCAGTTGTATTCTTCTGTAGCTCTTAAATTTAATTTAGGCTAATTAACGTGTTCGCAGCTGTAGTTGCAGATTTATAGGCTTAGTGTCACCAGCATTGCTGTGTGGTCACAGACGTGGTGGAGCAGTGGGACCGGGCTGCGGCTGCCCACAGGGCTGCACAGAGCCTGCACTGCAGCCCTGCACTCTGATTTCTTTACAAAATCCGTGATTATCCCTCCTCCATTCACTGTTTATGGAAATTAATTTAAAAATATTGTGCAATTAAAAGAAAATAATGTTTTCCTTCCCTTGGCATAGAGAGCTTTCTTCTGAGCAGGAGGGAGGGGTTTCTGAACACATCTTTCCTTTTTAGGGAGTTGAATGGAGGCTCCTATCCTTTCATGTTTTAATTAATTTTTGCATAGTTGCTTCATTAATTGATATTTATGTATTGCTTGTGCATAAATTCTGGAAACAGTGCGTAAGAGGATGTTCTCATTACAGCTCTACAAGGGCTTGGCCAATGCTGGAATATTAATAAAGGCAGACGAATGGAAGAGCACAGCTCACTTCCCTGCATCTGAGGCTCCAGTCGTGGGTGACGCCATCAGGGAACAGACGCTGTATGAAAGGCATCTTTGTGTGCAGCAGGAGCAGCACGCCTGTGCAGGTCAGTGCCAAGCCATCAGGGACACTGCTGAGGATAGTGCACGTGGCACTGGGTTCTGCAGGTTCTACAAAATCCAGCGTGCACAAAGAGCATCTCTGCATGTATGTCTGCCATGCTTTATGGAGGATGGTATTAAAAAAAAGAAATGGGGTATTTGGGGGGGCAGACACTCTGAGACTCATTATAAAATCATAGAATTACAGAATCACTAAGGTTGGAAAAGACAACAAAGATCAAGTCCAACTGTCAACCTATCCCCACCATGCCCACTAAACCACATCCCTGGGTGCCACATCTACCCTTTTACTGAACACTCCAGGGGCAGTGACTCAACCACCTCCCTGGGCAGCCTGTGCCAGCACCCGACCACTCTTTCAGAGAAGAAATTGTTCCTAGTATCCAACCTATGCCTTCCCTGGTGCAATGTGAGGCCATTCCCTCTTGTCCTATCATTAGTTACCTGGCAGAAGAGGCTGGCCCCCATCTCGCTACAACCTTAGCAAAGCCCCCTTCATCACCACACACTGTACAGGCCAGCACACAGCCTGACACCTCCCAGCACTGCCTGGGTGGGATCCCAGTCCCCAGCAGCACCATGGCCCCCCCGACATGGGCTGAAGCCGCTCAGGGTGGTGGCCATGCTCCTGCACCGAGCCCTGGGTGCCTCTCAGCACAGCCCTGAGCTGGCACTGGGCTGGCGTTTTGCTGGTGGCTCCCAGCTGAAAACCTCTCCCCATGCCCTCCAAAGGCATGCAGCTGCTTAGAGGGGCGAGTTATGAGCTGCCCAATGAGCTGTTGTTATCTGAGATTTTATTAATCATTTACTGCGTTTTATGAGGTTAGTCACCTGCATCGTCTCTGTGCTGACACAATAATTTACCCCTACAAGGATGAAGAATAAAATAAAAGATCATTTACTGGCAGCTCATAGTGCTCTTATCGGGTTACAAAGGCAGTAGGTGGAGAGAGATTTCTGCTGGGGAACACAAAGGTACGGCAGGGCACAGCCAAAAGGGTATTGCTGAAGATCGGGTTTATATCAAAGCAAGCGATAATCAATTATTCAGGGAGCTGGAGCTGAACTATCCCTCCCCATAGGTCCGTGAGCTTCTCACTGGCTCAGCTGTGGTAAGGGCTACCCAGAGGTCAGCTGGCCACAGGAGGACACAAATATTGAGCTCATCATGTAAATACAAGAGGTATTAGAAAGCACAGAACGAGCTCAGCCTCCACTCTAGGTGCCTGTTAGTCCCACAAGGTCAGCTGTGGGGCTGTCCCATGGCTCTGCACCTCATGAGAAACCCAGGAGGCCCCCCAGAGCTCCCCTCCATGCAGGGAGCAAAATGAGAGCGGTGCACACAGCAGCTCTCATGGTGCAGCCCCTCTTAGCAGGGCCCTGGGAGCCTCCTGCTGTGTCCTCTGCACTCAAGCCTCCTCAGAAACATTTTTCAAAATAATTGCCTGGATAAATTTGTTGGTAAGCAGCAGCACGGCACAGCAAGTTTTTATAACTCCCTCTGATTATTTACAGCTGCTGGTAGACCACGCTTAAGGCCATTACTCACCACAAGTCTCCTAATGTAATGCTTCTAAGGTAAGAAAGCGTGTCCTTGGTGGGCTGGGGGCTGCCAGCCCCTGGTTGTGCAGCATCTCCAGCATCACCCTGGGCTAGGCATTGTCCGGGGTGCAGAAGAAACATGCTAACACAGTAAACAGCCCCCCTGAAAGCACTGATAAACAAATATGCAGAAATCATGTATTTTGCAAGGGTAGAGCCTTCCTAGCAATAATTAGCTTCTAAACATACCCCCATCCTGTATAATAAATGAACAGCACAGTAAATGTTATGAGAATAATTCATTATTCATCACGAATAACAAATGGAGGGAATAATTTACCAGGCACTAACCTCTGAAAGGGGCCCACTCTGTCAGAGCCACACAGGGATGTGGCACCAGGCTTCTTCATGCCAGCCCCACAGGGCCTGGGTTTGATGGTGTACCGTAACACAACCCAAGCTCCTGTCACCTTTTGTGCTGCTTTGGCATCCCTGCAGAAATGCAACCTGTCCTGCATCCCCAAAGCTTGTAGCACCAGGCCAGTCCTCTGCAGGATGTAACTGCTTTGCAGAGTCCCCGCTTTCCCCAGAGACCTGAGAGCCCTCAAAGCCCTTTCAGGGGCACAATTGTGGACTCATTCCTATTTTATGTCTGCTGATTGTTATTTGTTTATTGCTCTTCATTCTCTTGTGTCCCTGGTGCTCCAGATGACAGACAACACATAAATCACTGCAGTGGAGCACAGCGAGTGGGGAAGAAGTGTATAAATGTATGTGTGTATGCTGGAGGATCAGGAGTGTTGGGGGATCCTTTGCTTATCCACTGCCATCAAACACACAGCACAGTGTGCTCAGGGATCCCCAGCTGCTAGGGACAACTGAGACAAAGCCCTCAGGAAAGGGGTCCCCAAAAAATCACTGCAGATGCCAAGCTCATCAGCTGCCCTGCGGCACCAGCGTCCCCTGCCGATTGCTGCCACGTGTGATTTGTTTCTTTAAAGGACCCTAA